ATAGTTGGGAAGATATTAGAGAGTTTAATAAAAGACCACATAGATAAGATGATGGAAAAACAAATCAATTGGGGGAGGAGGAGCCTGATCATGGCGGTGAGGGAGAGCGTGCTGTGAGTGCTCTCCACTAGCAGCCACCTGCACCTTAACAAGTGCCGTGAGATCAGAGAAGCCCGCAGGGACCTACCTGTGAGAGGGAGGGGGGTCCCTGAGGAGGAGTGGGAACTTGAGAGCGGAGGTTGCGAGGAGAGGAGGACAGAGCATCGGGTGTCCTCTGCAGCGGGATGGCGGCGGCTTCCATCCGGAGCAGAGGGTTGCCTGGAGACTGGAGGAAGCAGAGGTGGCCACGTGACATCCTGCAGAGAAGCACTGGGAGGAAGAGAAGCCAGGCGGCGTTCCCAGGCAAAGGGAAATGCCAGTTCTCCTCCTGATTGCACGGGACCTGTACCACCAGGGACTGGAGCCAGTGGGGTGAATCTCCCCAGAAGGGAAAAGGAGCAGAATAAATGGAGGGGCTGTTTGCAGCTCACAGCCCATAGAAGGAAGAGCCTGAAGCCACCTCACAATAAAGAGAGAAGACGGCAGGAGGGTGAATGTGGCAAGACATAATGTACTGCATGCAATGAACTGACATGTAAGGTGAAAGTAAGGGGGGAGATTTCCTAGGGGCTCTAGAAGATAAAGAGGACAAAGCAATGTAGTACAGGTCCCCAGAAGAAATAGAACTTAACAGAGGATAATTTAAAGTGAACATACAGGATAGTAAAACGATGAATCCCCCCAAGAGCCTGGATTAGTGAACTAAATCTTTTACGGAATGAAAAATAAAGGGGTCAAAGGAGGTGGACCCAAGAGTTCCCAAACAGGTACAATAAAAAAATATATGCCCTCACAGGGGAATCTGACCCCAGAAAGACAACAAGGACTAAGTGAAAGGAGCGTGTTGGAAATCAGTATGGAAGAAAGTCCTAGACTATCCCTGGAAATAGCTAATAGTAGTCAAAGAAGGACAGAAAGAGTGGTAGAACAAGAAAAGGAACTACAAATGCCAAACAAAAGAGAAATAGCAGAAATGTTTCAAAGCCTTTAAAAATCAATAAAACAAGAGATGGCGATATTACAGATAAATCTGGGGCAAATATTAGCAAGAGTGGAAGAAACAGAGGGAAAAGTGGAAGAACAGGCCCAAACTATTTTGAAACTAGAAAAGCGGACGATAGAAATGAGAAAAGAACAAAGAAAACTGCTATATAAGATAAAGAAAATAGGGATAGGAGATGTAATTTAAGGATAAGAGGAGTACCAGAGATTTCACACGGTGAAGCCCTAAGGGGAATAATATGTAAAATCCTGAACGCTATAATGGACAGATTGGTATCAGAGACGCTTAAATTGGACAGTGTGTATAGAATAGGAAAACTCCAACAAGAAAGGGATAAAGAAAAATCAAGAGATATAATTGTGCGATTCCATAATCTTGAGGATAAAGAAGAGATATGGAAGAAAATAAAAGGAAGAGCATCGATTAAGTATGGAGAAATAAATATTCAGATTTTTTCAGACCTAGCGGTAGAGACACTGACAAGAAGGAGATCTCTGAAATCATTATTAGAGCAGATGAAGAAGCAAAATGTGCAATATAGATGGGACTTCCCGGCGTGTTTGATTGGATGGAAAAACGGACGGGCAGCAAGACTAAGATTTCCTGAAGATATGACAGACTTTTGTGAGAGACTTGAATTAGAGAAAATGGTGATACCTGGGTGGGAAGAGGAGGAAGGAGAGATAGGGGCTATGGGAAAAGAAAATTGGCAAGTAGTTGGAAGGAGGAATAGAGAGGGGAGAGGGTTTTTTTTTTTTTTTTTCTTCTTTCTCCCCTCTTTTTCTTTTTTTTTTTTCTTTTTTTTTTTGCCCCAGTCCTTCCATATAGAAAGATCATCGAAGATGTATGAGATATAGTGAGGGAAAGGGCACGGAGGAGGATGGGTGGCTGTTAAACCGTCCGTGGTCGGAGTACCACCTTAAACTTGAATCAAGGGTGGTATAGGGACCACGAATGATTCGTAGACAAAAAGGTAGTCTAAGGGATGGGGAGGGTGGGGGGAAGAGAGGGAAGGGGGAAGGGAGGGTGGGGGGAAGGGCAAAGGGAAAAGGGGGATACTCAGCAAAAAAGAAAGGAGATAAAAGAATTAAGGAGAATCCTGGGGAAAGAAAGAATGGAAAATATATATAGTAATGGAGGAGGTTAATTTTACGACTTACAATGTTAAAAGGCTAAATAGTTGGGAGAAAAGATTTAAGATACTTAGAGAAATACAAAAAAGATTTATTGAGGTAGTGTTTATACAGGAAACACATCTAATACAAGAAACAAATGTGAAATTACATTCTAAGCACTACCCAGTATGGTACTATGCAGACTCCCCAATTAAACGTGCTAAAGGGGTGGCAATTGGGTTTGCGAAAAATGTAAGGTTCTGTTTACAAGATAAAAAGGAGGATCCAGAGGGTAGATTTTTATTCTTAAAGGGGAAATTGAAAGAGGTAGAATGTACATTGGCAAATATATATTGCCCCAATAAAAAATCAGAGGCCTACCTAAAGAACATACTGAAGAAGCTATTAGATTTTAAAAAAGGTAAACTAATTGTGGCAGGAGATTTTAACTGTTGCATGGAACCACAACTTGACTCGACATCTCATGTGTTGAGAGAGGGGAACAAACATTTGAATGAATTAAAGAAAACTATACAATATTGTAAGTTGATAGTTGGAGAACTAAAAATCTAAGAGACAGAGATTATACATTCTATTCTCACGCACATGAGACGTATTCAAGATTGCATTATATATTGCTAGATCATAGACTTATAGGGATTTATTTACTAAAGCTGGAGAGTCCAAAATCAGACTCCCTTCTGCATAGAAACCAATCAGCTTCTAACCTCAGCTTGTTCAATGAAGCTTTGGCAATGAAACCTGGAAGCTGATTGGTTTCTATGCAGAAGGGAGTCTGATTTTGGACTCTCCAGCTTTAGTAAATAAACCCCATAGAGTCTTTGGTGAAAGCAAGGATAACAACTATAACGCTATCCGATCATGCACCTGTCACAATAAGGTTAAAATTGGGAAGAGAACAAAAAAAGGTAAATACGTGGAGATTAAATGAGACACTTCTTCAGGATCAGGAGAAGGAACAGATAATTAAAAGAGAAATAGAATTATATTTCGAAAGAAATGAGACTGAGGAGGTGTCGATGACGACTGTATGGGAAGCCCACAAGGCATATATTAGAGGAATCTTAATAGCGATTGAGGTAAAAAAGAAGTAGGAAAGGAAAGAGAGAATTAACACACTTAATAGAGAATTATTTGAATTAGAACGGGTGCATAAAAAGAATAACAAAAAAAAATAAGCAGAAGGTATTGGAAAAACGAGAAGAACTAAACAAATTAATGGAGGAAGAAAAAAGGAGAGTGTCTAATAAGATTAGTAGTGAAAGATACCGGTGGGGAGATAGGCCTGGAAAATTCCTAATGAGAGCTCAAAGAAAAAAGAAGGGTAGGAATTATATAGAGAAAATAAGAGATACTAAAGGAGAACTAAAATATTCTACCAAAAATATCGCAAAAGTGTTTAAAGAATATTATAGTAAATTATATAATATCAATCCCCAACAGTCCATAAGAGATGAGGAATAAAGAAGTAAAAAAAGACTGATATACCTAGAAGAGGCGGGGTTGCCGAAATTGAGAGAGGAGCAGTTAATATCCCTAGAGTGAGCAATAACAGAAGAAGAAATTTATAGTGCACCGAAGAGTAGTATGGCAGGGAAAAGTCAAGGACCGGATGGGTATACTGTGAGATACTATATGAAATTTAAAGACCAACTGATACCTAAATTAACTACATGCATGACCGCATTGGGAGGGGAGATGGAAATGAGGGAGGAATCCCTTCAGGCCCATATCACAATAAAAGAAGGGAAAGACAGCACACAGTGTTCTAGTTATAGGCCGATATCCCTATTAAACATAGATACTAAACTATATGCAAAAGTGCTGGCAAGTAGGTTGAAAGAGCTAATGCCGGAGTGGATCCATATGGGCAGCACAGTGGCTAAATGGTTAGCACTTCTGCCTGGCAGTACTAGGGTCGCTGGTTCGAATCCCAGCCACGGCACCTCCTGCCTGGAGTTTGCATGTTCTCCCTATGCCTGCGTGGGTTTCCTCCCACACTCCAAAGACATGCTGGTAGGTTAATTGGATCCTGTCTAAATTGGCCCTAGTATGTATGAATGTGAGTTAGGGACCTTAGATTGTACGCCCCTTGAGGGTTAGGGACTGATGTGAATCTACAATATATATGTAAAGTGCTGCATAAATTGACGGCGCTATATAAGTACCTGAAATAAATAAATAAATATGGATCAAGTGGGGTTTGTCCCTGGGAGAGAGGGTAGGGATAATGGATTAAGATCAATAATGCTCATACAAAAACATAAAAGAGAAAAAGTCCCTGTATTGCTACTGTCCATAGACGCTGAAAAAAGCAATTGATAGAGTAGACTGGGGGTATATGTTGGATACATTAAAAGTCCTGTGGGTGGGCCCTAGAATGAGAATATGGATAGGGAAATTGTAGTCAACCATCAGCTGCAATAAAGGAAAGAAAAATTATATGCATACCCTAGGACTCCAAAAGAAAGAGAAAAGAGGCTAAGAGGCTAAGAGGCTGAGAGGTGGAGGTGGGGGTGGGGGGGAGGCGAAGGGGGAGTTTGTATTTTTTGTATGTGGGATGAAAATAATGGAATGTTATATTGAAATTTTAACTGATGGAAGAGATAAATTGTAAAAACTTAATAAAATATTAATGAAAAAAAAAGAAATACCGTATTTTTCGCTCCATAAGAAGCACCTGACCATAAGACGCACCTAGGTTTTAGAGGCAAAAAACAGGAAAAAAAAAAATTGGACTGCAGACATAGTACAGGGATGCACTGCGGACATAGTACAGGAGATGACCAGAGACTGCGGACACAATAGATGACCAGGACTGCGGACATGACCAGAGATGACCTGCGGACACAGTACAGGAGATGACCAGAGACTGCGGACACAGTACAGGAGATGACCAGAGACTGCGGACTAGTACAGGGATGACCAGAGACTGCGGACACAGTACAGGAGATGACCAGAGACTGCAGACACAGTACAGGAGATGACCAGAGACTGCAAACACAGTACAGGGATGACCAGAGACTGCGGACACAGTACAGGGATGACCAGAGACTGCGGACATAGTACAGGAGATGACCAGAGACTGCGGACATAGTACAGGAGATGACCAGAGACTGCGGACACAGTACAGGAGATGACCAGAGACTGCGGACACAGTACAGGGATGACCAGAGACTGCGGACACAGTACAGGAGATGACCAGAGACTGCGGACACAGTACAGTAGATGACCAGAGACTGCGGACACAGTACAGGAGATGACCATAGACTGCGGACAGCACAGGGGATGACCAGAGACTGCGGACACAGTACAGGAGATGACCAGAGACTGCAGACACAGTACAGGAGATGACCAGAGACTGCAGACATAGTACAGGGATGACCAGAGACTGCGGACAGCACAGGGATGACCAGAGACTGTGGACAGCACAGGGATGACCAGAGACTGTGGATAGTACAGGAGATGACTGCTGACCTTTGGGGAGGTGGGGAGCGGGTACCTGAATTTGACAGGTACCCGCTCCCACTTCCGTGGAGTTGTTCTTTCATCTTACCTGTTCCTCTATCCAGCCGCGCGCTGTCTTCCCGGCTTCTGTAATGGCGCTCGGCATGACAGCCGGGTGCCCATGCGCATGAGCGAGAAGCACTTGCACTTTGTGATTGGTCCGGCGGCTTCTGGGATCTGTCATGTGTCCCAGGTGCCGCCTTACCATTCACAAAAAGCACCGCTTCTTGCGCATGTGCACTTGGCACCCGGCTGTCATGCCCACACTACAGAAGCCGGGAAGACAGCGCGCCGCTGGATAGAGGAACAGGTAAGATGAAAGAACAACTCTACGGAAGTGGGAGCGGGTACCTGTCAAATTCAGGTACCTGCTCCCCCCCCTCCCCAAAGGTCAGCACTCATCTCTATAAGGTCCCGCTGCAGAGCTGAGCGGCCGGCCCGGTATTCTGCACAGCGGCGGTGGAAATACCGGACCGGCCGCTCCATATTCGCTCCATAAGACGCACTGACATTTTCCCCCCTTTTTTGGGGGGAAAAAAGTGCGTCTTATGGAGCGAAAAATACGGTAGATGATGGAAAAAAATATTTTAAGCAACAGACAGCATGGATTCATGAAAGACAGAAGATGTCAAACAAATCTGATCTATTTTTATGAGGAGGTGAAAAAACCTTGGACAGAGGGGTGGACATGGTGTACTTGGATTTTGCAAAAGCATTTGACACAGTTCCCGACACACAGCTAATGTGTAAAGTAAAGTCTACAGGCTTGGAAAAAATACGTATGTAAATGGATAGAAAACTGACTAAGAAATCGTATTCAGAGAGTGGTGGTTAATGATTCATACTCTGAATGGTCTAGGGCAGTGGTCGGCAAGCCGCGGCTCGCGAGCCACATGCGGCTCTTTACACGCTTTAATGCAGCTCTGGTGTGCTGGGCGCCCGCTCCCCTCCCTCCTCTCGGGCGGCAGGGACTCTGCAGCGTGATCCAAAAAAAAAAACAGCCAGGGCAGCGCGCTCAAATGCAATGATTGGCCAGTCTCGCTGCCACTCACATCCTGATAGCCAGTGATTGGCTGTCAGGATGTGTGTAGGCGGGGCAGCGTGACGAACGTGAGAGGAGCTAGGCTCCTCTCACAGTCCGCCCTGAAGACCGGAACGGCACGGGAACACGGCGAGAGGAACGCGCGGAGCAAAGGTAAGTGAATTGACACAGGGGGGACTTGGCTTACTACTTGGGGGGGAATAGTACTGTGAGGGATGAATTAATATGGGGGATGAATTAATATGGGGAATGAATTACTATAGGGGGGATGAATTACTATAGGGGGGATGAATTACTATATGGGGGATGAATTACTACGGGGGATGAATTACTATATGGGGGATGAATTACTATATGGGGGATGAATTACTATGTGGGGGATGAATTACTATATGGGGGATGACTTACTATATGGGGGATGAATTACTATATGGGGGATGAATTACTATGTGGGGGATGAATTACTATATGGGGGATGAATTACTATGGGGGATGAATTACTATGGGGGATGAATTACTATATGGGGGGTGAATTACTATGGGGGATGAATTACTATGGGGGATGAATTACTATATGGGGGATGAATTACTATGGGGGATGAATTACTATATGGGGGATGAATTACTATGGGGGATGAATTACTATGGGGGATGAATTACTATATGGGGGATGAATTACTATGGGGGATGAATTACTATGGGGGATGAATTACTATATGGGGGATGAATTACTATGGGGGATGAATTACTATGGGGGTTGAATTACTATATGGGGGATGAATTACTATGGGGGATGAATTACTATACGGGGGATGAATTACTATAAAAACTTATTGAAACTAAAAACAGTGTACCATCCTATGTATTTTCAGTTTTAAAAATGTGGCTCTCAAAATAAATTTCAATCGTGGTTTTGGCGAGATTTGGCTCAGTTGAAAAAAAAAGGTTGCCCACCACTGGTCTAGGGTTGTTAGTGGTATACCCCAAGGTTCAGTGTTGGGACCCTTACTTTTTAATATATTAAAAATCCCATTTCAGTCTTTGCAGATGACACCAAGCTGTGCAATGGAATAGTGTCCTTACAGGATGTCTCCAATTTACAAGCCTATCTCCATGCACTGTTTAACCGCTTCCCGCCCGCTATATATGGAAATGACGGACTGGCAGCGGTTCTCTTGTTCTGGGAGGATGTGCAGCAACACAGTTCATCATCGATCATGGTAAAGAGCCATTGTGTGTGCAATCACAGCCTGTCACAAATGTAAACAAAGAGCGGTAACTCACTGTTACCAGCTTCCTCTCCTCACACACAGATCTTGAGTGAGGAGAGGAAACTACTAACAGTTACCGGTTTTAGCCCCAGTTCACATATATGCGGCCGTGCGGGCTGCATTTTACCCGGGCACGAGAGCCCATTCATTTGAATGGACTCCCGTGGGCCGTGACACACAGGGAAGAAGTCCCTGCACTTCTTCCGAAAATGCAGCCCGCACGGGAACCTCGGTTCCCAGTACGGTTGTTGCGTTTTCCAGTGCGGGCAGCGTGCCATTAGAAGTGATGGCACCCGTCTGCGGGTCTGCATTTCTGTGCAGGTGGTGCGGCTGCACGGATTTACGTGCGGATCCGCAGCGGCACCACCCGCACAGATGTGAACCTAGCCTTACAGTGCATACACACATTACAGCCCCTGTGACAGTGCCCATCAGTGTACCTGTCGCCCATCAGTGCATCAGTCGTCCATCAGTGCCCATAAGCAGTGCGCCCGTCACCCATCAGTGCAAGTAATCTCTCTATGGCCAGTCCTACTCTGCTCTGCCTATCCCTTTTTATTGCAAACTCTGCTGGAAAGGGTATATACCAGTGTACAGAGGGTCCTTCAGAATTTCTAGTGTTAATATGTGGTTACACCCCTTTAGCACCTGATGGATAAATGCATGTACTAGCTATTGGGATTTTAGCACAGGTATATCTTGTTTGTTTGTTCATCAGTTCACCTGTCACCTATCAGTGCCCATCAGTGTGCCCGTCAGTGTACCTGTTGCCCATCAGTGCTCATCAGCAGTGCATCTGTCGCCCATCAGTGACCATCAGCAGTGCACCTGCCTCCCAGCAGTGCCCAGTGTGACGACTGTGCGAAATAGAGACATGGACGCTGTACGTGACAGCTATCTTGTTAGGCTTCAGCCATTTTGTCTCTCCTTTCCTCCCTCATGGTATGGAATATATAGCTGTAAGTTGAATGGACATCAAAAGGGCCTCTTATCTTAAATAAAACACAGATAGATGAAGCTCCAGAGCTGTAAACCGCTAATTAGTCTGGTGCAGGAGGTCTGCTTTGAAAGCCACTTTCCTCTGCCAGATCGTAAAACAATAACTCAGTCAGTCATGACCTGTTAGGCCATTAGGGCTAAAGTATGCCATAATACATACATTCCACATGTAGACATTTTTCATACAGTTCATAAAGTTCAGCAGGACCTGGGCACATTAATATTAGGTATATATTTGGATAGATCATTTTAATGTGAGTCAAACAAGGCCATATAATTCTGAATATTAATCTGCCAGTTGCTAGGATGCTAACTGTACCTTTTGGAGGTTATTAACCTTAGTATGAAATTGTAAGGTGACTTGGTCATAACCTTGGTTACCTCCTAGACCCCATCCCCATACTGGATGATTAGTCATTTGTTCTCAGGCGACACCCCTTTAATATGATAGAAAAAGACTGACAGGCTGGAGAAAAGACGGCTCTTGTTTAAAATCAATCAGGAAACATCTAACGGACGTGAGAGCCAAGACAATCTTTTTGTTCGGACACTTGGACTCTGCTTAAACCAAGGACGTTACAAGTATTCTGCCTTCTGAACACCTTTTTTTTATTTCTCTGTTGCTTTATTGTTCTCTTTATATCTTTGTAACATCTTTTTCTGTAAATATTGTAATTGCACCATTTTGGCCTTTTTAGTAATAAATCCTATTTTGAAAAGTGTTGAAACTGTCTGTAAAGCTTTTAATGCAAAATAAAGAATCCCTCTCTCTTGAAGAGTGCTACTGTATGTAATAATCCTCTGAATTTCCCTGTCTGTGGTGGCAGTGTGTATTACAGACACTTATGCTAATATCATAGTGTTACTGCTAAGATTTGTGAGTTTCCTCCTTCTCTGTAAAAAGGTGGTGGTGGCAGTTTGAAGGGTTAATTGCGTAATTAAACTGACCCAGTAACAATCGCTCTTAGTCTACTGGCACATAGATTGTAGTCCAGTGAGCTGGAAAATCTTTGTGCAGAGCGCAGCTGAGAGTGGCATTGTTACGCAAGTGACAGCGCGGTGCGAGATTGGCTGGTCCTTCAGGCATGAGTTGGTGAGAAGGGCAGGCGTCGTTCCATCACATATTGGATCGCAGCGTACATGAGATAGTACTGCATTAGAGCATTCAGTGCAGCGTTAGGAATTAGCTCTGTACTGAAGGATTGTTACCTTTGTGGAAACAGTCCTTAGAGACAAACGGTGCATATTTTTGTTTTTTTATAAAAGAGACATACAGCAACCACTCCTTCATATTTCTGCTTTCTATTCTATCTTTTCTTCTTGCAAATAATACCTGGTTTAGCAGAATACAAGAAAATTAGCAAAAATGATTTATGTGATGAGTGTGAAGCAAGAGGAATTGACATCGGTGGCAAGAATCGTGAAAGTTTGAATCATGTTCTACAGG